GGTGAGTCTGAGTATGGGTACGTCTGTGTGTGCCTGACTCTGAAGAAATGAATCTGAGTGTGAGTGAGCTTGTGTATGAGTGAGTCTGGTGCGAGTCTGAATCCCAATGGTGCCCCTGGCAGTGTCTGGCGACTAGGAGGCCCGGGTCGACTCCTCTTTGGGAAGCCAAAATGCTTCCCCTGGCAGCGTTTGGTGACTATGAAGCCCCTGGTGGACCCCCCCTGGGGCTCCCAAATGATGCCCCTGGCAGCGTTTTGTGACCATGAGGCTCTCAAGAGATAAATGTTGGGGACGCCAAACGGCAATTCTAGCTGAGGCGTCCCACCAAAATCGGCGCGAACGGGCTCGTGAGATCAGCCAGGGTGGCTCCCCCTTGGGGCTCCCAAATGATGCCCCTGGCAGCGTTTTGTGACCATGGGGCTCTCAAGAGATACATGTTGGGGAGGCCAAGCGGCAATTCTAGTTGAGGCGTCCCACCAAAATCGGCGCGAACGGGCTCGTGAGATCAGCCAGGGTGGCTCCCCTTTGGGGCTCCCAAATGATGCCCCTGGCAGCGTTTTGTGACCATGAGGCTCTCAAGAGAGACATGTTGGGGAGGCCAAACGGCAATTTTAGCTGAGACGTCCCACCAAAATCGGCGCGAACGGGCTCGTGAGATCAGCCAGGGTGGCTCCCCCTTGGGCCTCCCAAATGATGCCCCTGGCAGCGTTTTGTGACCATGAGGCTCTCAAGAGATACATGTTGGGGACGCCAAACGGCAATTCTAGCTGAGGCGTCCCACCAAAATCGGCGCGAACGTGCTCGTGAGATCAGCCAGGGTGGCTCCCCCTTGGGGCTCCCAAATGATGCCCCTGGCAACGTTTTGTGACCATGAGGCTCTCAAGAGATACATGTTGGGGAGGCCAAACGGCAATTCTAGCTGAGGCGTCCCACCAAAATCGGCGCGAACGGGCTCGTGAGATCAGCCAGGGTGCTCCCCCTTGGGGCTCCCAAATGATGCCCCTGGCAGCGTTTTGCGACCATGAGGCTCTCAAGAGATACATGTTGGGGGCGCCAAACGGCAATTCTAGCTGAGACGTCCCACCAAAATCGGCGCGAACGGGCTCGTGTGATCAGCCAGGGTGGCTCCCCCTTGGGGCTCCCAAATGATGCCCCTGGCAGCGTTTTGTGATCATGAGAGAGTGTGAGTGTGAGTGAATGTGACTGTGAGTGAGTCTGAGTGAGAGTGAGTCTCATCTTATCTTATCGAGTCCTATATTATCTTACCTGTATTACCTTCTATCTTATCTTATCTTGAAATCTCCTATCTTGTATTAGCTTATCTTATATCAACTCATCTTATCGCTTCATATCTTGTCTTATCTTATTACTCCATAGGCTGTCTTATCTTATATATTATCCTACCTTGCCATATATCTTATCTTACCTTATCATATCTTGCGCTATCTTATCTTATCTTGTAGTATCTTATCTTGTCTTGTCTTATCTGGTGATTATCATTGGGAGGAGGGAGGCGGGAGGCGGGAGGAAGAAGGAGGAGGAGGAGTGGGAGGCGTCAGAATAATAGCAAGAACCCCAATCCTTAGGATATGGGGAATAATAATAATACTAATAGTACTAATAATAATACTAATAATAATAATACTATTAATAATAATAATGATAAAAATAATAACAATAATTCGCCGGCCCAACGGGCCAGAGGCGTGCTAAGATCTCCGGTAACTGGTTAACAATTGTATTGTACTAGTTCGCGCGCGCGGGGCGGCCCCTGGGGGTCCCCCGGCGAAAAGTACCCCGCCCGCCGCCTGACCAGGTCCCGCCCGGTTCAACTCAGAGATGGTTTTCCTTCTGGGTGCGGCCTCTCAGGCCGCCCTGAGCGCGCCAAGAGTGCCCCAAGAGGCCCCCAAGACTGCCCAAGAGGCCCCCGAGACGCCCAAAGAGCGCTCGAAGACGCCGAAAATGACCCCAAGACGGCCCAAAAGGCCCCCAAGCCAGCCCAAGAGGCCTCCAAAACGCCCCAAGAGCCTTCCAAGAGGCCTCCGAAGAGAGCCCCAAGAGGCCAAAATCGTTGATTTTCATTGGTTTTTTCTATGTTTTTTGTGTTCTGGCTTTTTCGGCTTCCGGACGCTCCAAGACGGCCCAAGAGGCCCCCAAGACCGCTCCAAGACGGCCCACGAGGCTCCCAAGACGGCCCCGGAACGGCCCAGGAGGGCCCCCAAGACGGCCCAAGTGCCGCCCAAGACGGACCAAGAGGCCCCAAGACGGGCCCAAGAGGGGCTCAAGAGGGGAACCGAGAACTGAAAAATCGAGCCCTCCGCCCCAGAAGGCGCCCAGGAGGCCCCAAAAAGGCCCCAAGAGGCCCCCAAGAGGCCCCCAAGACGCCCCAAGAGGCGCCCAAGAGGCCCAAAAGAGGCCCCAAGAGGCCCCAAAACGGCCCCCAAAACTCGGCTAGCCCACAACGGTGCGACAATATGGGCCAGCGGAATGAGCGAAGCGATTAAATAACAATACTAACAATGCTAAGAATAACACGAATAATACTACTAATACGAATGATATTAAGAATAAGCATAGGAGGAGGAGGAGGAGGAGGAGGAGGAGGAGGAGGAGGAGGAGGAGGAGGAGGAGGAGGAGGAGAAGGAGGAGGAGGAGGAGGAGGGGGGGGAGGGGGGGGAGGAGGGAGGAGGAGGAACAGGAGGAGGAGGGAGTGATGGAGGGAGGGAGGAGAAAGGAGAGGGGAAGGAGAAGAGAAGGAGGAGGGACAAGGGAGAGGAGGAAGCACAAGGAGCGGTAAGGAAGAGGAGGAGATGAGGAGGAGGGGGAGGAGATGAGGAGAGGCGGGAGGAGGAGGAAGGAGGAGAAGGAGGCGGCGTGAGAGGAGGGAGGAGAAAGGAGGAGGAGGAAGGAGGAGGATAGAGGAGGAGGAATGAGGAGGAGGGAGGAGAGGAGGAGAAGAGAGGAGGAGTTGGAGGGAGGAGGAGGGAGGAGAGGAGGAGGAGAAGGAGGAGGAGGAGGATCACCTCCACATCCTCCCTTCTCCCCCGTCGTATACCCACGGTAGTGGTGGTGGAGCCTCCTCCTTTCGAGCGTGAGCCACCGCGTACACGCCCGTTCGGCCGTGCCATCATCTCCGCTCGCGAGGCCTCCCGCCTGTTCTCTCCGCCCGCTCTCGGAGGAGAGAGAGGTGCCGATTCCTGACACCAGGGCTGGACCCAAACGCTGTTCTATGCTGGACTTCGGCCGTGTCTTGTTCCTCGTTTTGGCAGGGAGGTATGCAGGACAACAGGTCGAGCAGAGCGAGAACCAAGACGAACGCAACAACGAACAACAACGTTTAGGTCCAGCCCTGTCTGGCACCCCCTGGCCTCGCTTTCGCCTCCTTTGTTGGGCGTCTCTTGGGGAGCACTCGTCGCCACCGCTGGGTTTGCCTCGCTCAATTCTGGGCAGAGTGTATCCCAGGAAAGGCCTGGGGAGTGTAGCGTTAAGTCTGGCCTGTCCCTCTCCAGGGGTAGTAGTCAGAAATAGTAAAAATAGTCAGGGAGCGATTCTCTGATCATTTTTGACAATTTTAGGGTATTGTTGGAGTATTCTTTATTTTTCGTCCAAAATCCGCCTGTAGGGGGACACGCCCGACCTGAGAGTAGCGGTATCAGTACAGCCGGCCCGGAGTGGCAGGTCGACCCTGCATTGCGCCGTGCTCTCTGCAGTCTCGGGGCAGGGGCACCCTTGTTCCCTGGGGTTTTGGAGGCCACGTTGCCGGACGTTGCCGGCGGAAGAGTCTGGTGTCCTGCCGCGTGTCCTGTGCAATCACCTCTGCCTGTATCTTTTTGGTTTCCCCACGCTCGCTCTCGCGAGCGGCCACCTGAGCGAGCAGCCGCCCGCCGCCGCCGCCCGCCGACGCGTGCCAGGGGGGCGGGGGCTGGCGCACCTCTGCCCTCGCAGCCGCCTGCTGCGTGAACTGTTCTCTCGAGCCCGGGGGCCTCCCGTAAGCAACTGGTGAGGCCCCGATGCTGGGTAAGTCTGCTTTTTCTCGAAGAAGAACAACGCCATACACATAAACTTTTTGGTGCTTCGTGCGGATTTCTTGGATCCGCGCTCTGCCCCCAAGGGCGACGCTTCCGGCGCCGCCCCTGACGCGCTCCACGCGCCAGGGAGGGGGGCCTAGCGCGGATCCAAGAAATCCGCGCGGAGCGCCAAAAGCTTATGTTCATTGTGTGTTTTCTTCTTCTCAGTCTGCTTTTCGAGGGAGGGAGCACGATTGCCACGACCAACATTAGGGGCGGGAAAGCCACCCCGAGCCCGACCAGCGGCGTGAACGCCACGGCCCTGGACGTTTACTGAACAGCCCTGGGCCCTGCTCAATTTCTTCCGGGGGTGCGTCTGCTAAATGGTTTGGCCTGTCCTGGTGGCTATGTGGGTCCTGATCTTGTGCTCTCGACAAGATGCCACCAGATCCTGTCGGCGCCAACCGTGGTCACGGTCCATAACAGCCGTCGCCGATTCGCGAAGAGGTCCCACGATTTGACGATGGCCAATATTGACGATGGCCACAATCGGCACCGACGTTTCTGTGTGCAGTCCTGGTCATGGTCCTCGTGCTCTCTCCCTCCAGGTGAGGCCCAGATGCTTGATAAGTCTGCTCTCTGGTGTCTTCCCCTATCCTCTCCCCTCTGGCGCCCTCCTCTGTTCCTCTGCCTTGCTGCCCGAGTGTGGGCGAGGTATGCATGGCAGTACAGGGGAGGTCTAGCGGAAGTGCCCCATGTTCTTGAAAGGTGTCCATCCGGCCTAGGTCCTTCCGTATCCACCGCAGGCGTCAAAGGGAGACGGAAAGATGATAATAATGATGAGGATGTTGATGCTGCTGATGATGATGATGATGATGATGATGTTGCTGCTGATGATGATGTTGAGTGTGGTGCTGCTGCTGCTGCTGATGATGATGATGATGATGATGTTGATGAGGATGATGATGATGACGATGATGCTGATGATGATGTTTATGATGATGATGATGCTGCTGATGATGCTGATGATGCTGCTGATGATGCTGATGCTGATTCTGAAGATGATGCGGATGCTGCTGCTGATGATGATGATGATGACGAAGCTGATGATCTGCTGATGCTGCTGATGATGATGGTGATGATGGTGATGGTGATGGTGATGATGCTGCTGATGCTGATGATGATGATGATGCTGCTGATGATGATGCTGCTGATGATGATCATGATCATGATGATGGTGATGATGATGATGATGCTGATGATGATGATGATGCTGCTGATGATGATGATCTGTATTATGATATGTATGTGTATGATGAATAATGATGATGATGATGATGATGATATGATGATGATGATGATGATATTATTGATGTATGGATGAAGTGGTGATTGATGATGATGATGATGATGCTGATGATGCTGATGCTGATGCTGATGCTGATGATGGTGAGTGATTTGATGATGATGATGATGAGGAAGGAGAGGAGGCGAGGAGGGAGGAGGAGGAAGAGGGGGAGGAGGAGGATGAGTGTGGATGAGAGAAAGAGGGGGAGGTGGAAGAGGAGTGGGGATGAAGTAGGGTGGAGGAGGGATAGGGAGTGATGCGGTAGGAGGATGAAGGAGGATGAAGGAGTAGGAGGAGGAGGAGGAGGAGGTGCTCCTCGTTGCTCGTTTCTTTGCCCCTGGGGGGCCCCGTGGCCGCCACGGCGGGAGCGCAGCTCGGGAGCGTTCCCAGGACGGACCCCACGAGCGGGTGCGGGAACCTGTCTTGGAAGGCCTCGGGGCGAGGCTCTGTTCCAGAGCGGAAAAATATATCAGGAGGGGAAACAGCACACACAGACACAATTCATCGTCGACTCCCAAGAAAAGATGGGAAAACATGGGAAGGGGGGGGGAAACGAAAACCCAGAAAATATGAGAACATTTGGGGGGGTTGTGTCTATTTCCTTGTGTGCCCCTGGGCCCCTTGAACAAAATGCACGTGCACGTACATAAGTCCACGTTGGCCTCGAGGGTACGCCTTGCGCGAACGCTCGTGTCACGCCGTCGGCCTCGCGGACTTTAGGGCTGCGTTCATGTACGTGGTTGGGCGCGTACGTCTTTTGGGGCTCCCGATCTGTTGGGTCGCGAAGAGAAGCGCGCTTCGCGCCGCCCACTTCGGTCTGGGCCGGAGAGCTTCCCTTCCCCGGGATGGCCGCGCGAGAGGTGCGTCTTCGCGCCTTGCGTACCTGCGCCCGAGCGCGGAGGCACGGTGACAGGGTTCGGTGGCGCCTGGCTGTTGGGCTCCCCGCGGGTGACCGAGGGTTCGGCTGCGCCCTCCTCCCTCCTCCTCCTCCTCCTCCTCCTGCTCATCCTCCTCCTCCTCCTCCTCCTCCTCCTCCTCCCCTTCGCGCCCCCCTCCTCTCCTCCTCCTCCTCTTCTCCTCCTCCTCCTCCTACCCTCCCTCCCTCCTCCTCCTCCTCCTCCTCCTCCTCCTCCTCCTCCTCCTCCTCCTCTCCCCTCCTCCTCCTCCCACCTCCTCCTCCTCCTCCTCCTCCTCCTCCTTCTCCTCCTCCTCCTCCTCCTCCTCCTCCTCCTCACCCCCCTCCTTCTCCTTCTCCTCCTCTTCCTCCTCCTCCTCCTCTCCTCCTCCCTCCTCCTCCTCCCTCTCCTCCTCCTCGCCCTCCCTCGGTTCCTCCTCTGCTCTTCCTCGTCCTCCCCTGCAGTCACCTCCTCCAACCCTCCTCCTTCGGCTGCCCCTCCTCCCTCCTGCCTCCTCCTCCGCCTCCTACCTCCTCCTCCTCCTCCTCCCCCTCCCCCTCCTCGCCGCGTGAGTGCGGTTTCTTCCCATCTGTCTCTGCGGCCGCTTCTCTTCTTTTTCTTCTCCACTTGCTTATGGGACGATTCGCAATGCCGTAGCCCGGGTTGCTTGGACGCGCGAGCGCATCGCCTCTGCCGCGCTGCGGCGGGAAAGTTGGGCTCTCCATGCCCGTGAGTTGCTCTGGGTCTCTTCTGGAGGGGCGTTGCGCGCCATGAACCAACACTTGCGCAGTGTTTTTTTCAGAAGTTTACCAGGCCGACTTTGGATGAGTAGCAGCACGGTCCAGAGGGGGTCGGGAGCATGGATGAGGAACGGATGAGCACGAGTGAATTCGTCCCGTGCCCATCCTTTTCTCATCCAGCATTTGGGCACGCAGGCGAAACGTGTCTCATGTTGCCGTAGCGTTCACACAAGGCTCGCCTTACATAAATATGTTGCCTGTTCGCACCCATCAAAGTGCCGCTAACATTCAGCATGCAACCATCCGCCTCACAAATGCTGGATACAGGTTGAGTGCCCTTCTCTAACTCGTCAATAACAAAGGTGATTTAATGATGCTGCTGCTTATGATGCTGCCGCTGCTGCTGCTGATGATGATGGTGATGGTGGTGATGATGATGCTGATGATGATGATGCTGCTGATGCTGATGCTGATGCTGATTTTGATGCTGATACTGCATCTGCTGCTGCTGATGATGAAGCTGATGATGCTGCTGCTGCTGGTGATTGTGATGGTGATGATGCTACAGATGCTGCTGCTGATGATGATGCTGATGATGCTGTTGGTGACGATGACGATGACGACCCTGGATGCGATGCTGGTGCTGCCGCTGCTGATGACGATAAGGATGCTAATGCTGCTGCTGTTGCTGCTGTTGCTGCTGATGATGATGATGACGATTATGTTGATGTTGATGTTGATGTTGATGTTGATGTTGATGTTGATGTTGATGTTGATGATGATGATGATGATGATGATGCTGTTGATGCTGCTGCTGATGACGCTGATTATGATGGTGATGATGCTGCTGATGATGATGCTGGTGCTGCTCCTTATGAAGACGATGAGGAGGGGGAAGAGCAGGAGGATTCTGATGATGCTGCTGCTGCTGATGATGCTGATGCTGCTGCCGCTGATGCTGATGCTGATGCTGATGCTGATGCTGCTGCTGCTGCTAATGATGATGATGATGATGATGATGATGATGATGATGATGCTGATGCTGATGCTGATGATGATGATGATGATGATGATGATGCTGATGATGATGATGGTGATGATGATGATGATGATGATGATGATGATGATGATGATGATGATGATGATGATGATCATTACGAGGAGGAGGAGGAGGGAGGAGGAGGAGGAGGAGGAGGAGGAGAAGGATGAGGCAAAAGAGGAGGTGCAGGAGGAGGATGAGGAATACTATTAGGAGGACATGCATGATTATATACGAGGTGGAAGACGCGGGGGAGGAGGGCGGTGGCATTCATGAGGAGGACGAGGACGACAACAACAGGGATTCATGGCAGGTGGGCCCGCAGGCGCGCTGTTGCGCACCCTTTTTCGCACCCCGACTTGTTCTACCGTTGCCTTGTCGTCTCCTACATTCGCAGATGGACGGTAGGTTCGTGTCGTGTCGACTGGTGGCGACCCCGCCATCGGCGTTCCAACGTTGAACGCCGCGGGCGACCCAGACTCGTTCGAGGTGGAAAGATTGGGACGTCTCGGAAACGGCCGATCCTTCCAGGCGGAGCGATCCCCGCGGCGTCAAGAGACGAACGCCGACTCCGGCACGACGCGACCCTGACGTGTGCGCCCGCGCCCCTCCTGGCCCGGCTCGTCCCTCCTCCGTGCGCCCGCGCCCGCGTCGGCATTGCGGCGCCGGCGGGCGACGGGCACGTGCTGAGCCTCCCGCGTGGCACGTGCTCCTTGTGCTGGACGCCCGAGATGGGTACGGGAGGAATGGGTACAATGCCCAGCAGCAGTTCTTTCAGAGGTTGATCGACCTCCTACCCTGACTTACCACCCACCAAACCACCCCAACCCAACCCGAAGGCCTCAAATTGACCTCCATTTCCAGTGGGGGGGGTCTTGGAGCATCGAGAAAACATATATGGAACCCGTACCCCCCCAACCCGAAATTCGGGTCTTCGGGTTGGGTTGGGGTGGTCTGGTAGGTAGGCACTGACACGTCGATTCAGGAATTGGCCGTTTCTGTTCGCGAGCGGGCGTCGCGGCCGTCATTGTTGCGGGTCCAGGTCCGGCCCCAGGCCGTTTTCACTAAGGGGAGGTTTACTAAAGGGAGGTTTGTCCACCGCCGATTCTTGCCCATTTTGACCAGGACTCGCTGTCCGTGTCGCCGCGGCCTGTGTACATTCGAGACAGAAGGCCGCCTGCCCAACAGCGGCCGCTGCTGATTTGGGACAACATTTGCTGTTGGGCACTGGGCCCATTTTTTCCGTACCCATTTCGGGCGTCCAAACCTGTGCCTCCGCGGGTGCGGCAACACGGCACGGGCTCCCGAGCTGCTGTTCAAGAGGCGCATCGTCCGTCCGCTCACCGCTGAAGCGGAGGGCACTGCTGGTCATGTTCGGACGCTGGGCGAGGGCTGGCAGATCCGTGACAGCTTCCCGGAAGAGAGGAACACAAGTTCTCGGAAGAAAGCCCAGCGCGCCGAATGATAAACGGGCTGCTCCCCGGAAGAGAAAAAACAATTTCCTGGAGCTCCGTTCTAGCAGCCACGGGTCTGCCAGCTTTCGCCTGGCTTCTGGCATGTGTGCTCACCAGTCTGTCTGTGTGTGTGTGTGTTTGTTTCTATTGGCCTGCGCTGTAACTCTTAGGCTGTCCAGGCCGCGTCAATGCAAGTAGGTGTTCATAGGTACGCTTGCCTTGCCACAGCTCATCACCGTGTGAGGTATGGCCTGGGTAAGTCATCCCTGGACCGTCGCTTCGATCAAACGCCACGCACGCTCGCATCTTGTACTTGCCCTTACCGCCTGATTGCATATTGCTATCTTGCGTGGCGTCTGAAGTGGTGTTCTTGGACTGAGATTTGAAGTGGGGAATGGGGTGGGGTTAATACCTGTTGACCGCCCCTTGCTTCATTTCCTGGCTTGTTCGTGGCCTAGTTGTGCAGCGCTTTCTTTGGATTCTCTAGCTTAATTGGGACCTCAAGTTACCCCTGGCGCGTCAAGTGCAATGTTCTCTGTGGATGTTCTAGCTTAATTGGGACCTCCAGTACCTCTGGCGCGTCAAGTGCAATGGTCTATAGGCGTCACCATTCATTCAGCACGCATCCGTCACCACGCATTGGAGCAGTTTCAACGCTCACGTCGCAAGGACGGGCACACATTAGGAAAGCATGTTCAAAGCAGACTGCAATCAACCAGTAAGCGTTTTTGCTGATCACGTATTTCGGACACGCTTCGCCACGAAGGGTTGTCCTGGCAGTTTTTGGTATTCTCTCCAAGTAAAACTTTACTACAAGCATGTGGCACGCGTATGGCAGTGACAGAATAACGGTTAGCGAGCTCCAAGCATGCATCAAGCAATTCTCGACTGCACTTATGCATTACATGTTGAAGCATTCGGTAACCGTTGAACATTCACCCAGCCTGCAAGTACATGGCACCTGCGTCAAAACATTCGCATATGCTACGCAACCATTTACCGAACATCTTGCAATCATGTCGCAAGCGTCAGGCTAGTGCCGACTGCGCGCTTATTGGCACCATTGCCACAATGTACCAGGAGCAACATTTCTCGGCGTTTGCACTTGCACAGTTGTGGCAGGCTCTTTGATCACTTTCTGGAGACCACTTTGCAACGCTGTCGGCAGCCAAGGCGATCAGTTTGTTTGCCTCGCACGCGCTGTGTAGGATCCTCTGTTTTAGCGTTTCCCTTTTATGCAGCCTAGCAGACCTTGCCCAGCCAGCTGACAGGCTCGCGTCTTTTTCCAAACATTATGGGTTCTTGCTTGTTCCCTCTGACGCCTGCTTGTGATGCAGGCTCAGCTGCCTACCTCGCATCTGCCCTCAGACTCGCTATTCCATGATCTCTCTCTCTCTCTCTCTCTTCCTCTCTCTCTCTCTCTCCCTGACTCCCTACTCCCTCTCGCTCGCTCTCCTGGACTCCTCCTTTTCTTTCTCCTTCTCATCCTCTGGCTCGCACTCTCTCTCTCTCTCTCGCTCTCTCTCTCTCTCTGTCTTCTTCTTTTTCTTCTTCCTCTCTGTTTTACACACACACACGCACACTCTCTCTGTCTCTCTTTTGATCCGGGTTCTTCGCCCTACCCCCTGCGCGCAGCGTGCTTGTGTGAACACATGATGGTATATTATAGTCAGTCCACCGTGCGCACATGCAAGTAAAGTCGGTGTGAGCGGTGACTGCTAGACACGTTGCTCGTGCCATACCGGGTCTTCCGCGCATCGCATGTCCAGCAACGTCACGCCTTTTTTGTGGTCTGGTTTGTGGATGGTTTTCGCATACGCCGGCTACTCGACCGCGTCGTGCGCTCGCCCTCGCCGCTGACAGCGCAACGTGTTTTTGGTATATGCATCCTCGTTGTATCCAGCTGCCTGTGGCGGGCCCAGCCACCGCGCCATCGCAGTAGCGCTGCAGGACGGAGACGGAGTCGAAGACCTGTTCCTGTTCGCCCTGTTTAGACTGACGAGGGTCTGACATAACTTTCTGCGCAGCCTCGTTCCCTCTCTCTGCCAGCATCTTGGAGGCTTCTTGTGGGCCTCGTAGGGGTCACTTTGGGTCTTCTTGGGGCCGTCCCAGGGGCTTCTCGTGGGCCCGTTTAGGTCCTGTTGTGGGCCCATCGGAGGTCTCGGGGCCGTTTTGGAATCAATGGTTTCACCGAACCCTTCGCAAGAAGCTCGATTGAAGCATCTTGAGGGCGATGGGCAGGTCTTAGGGCTGTCTTCGTGGCCCTCTTGGCCCGTCTTAGGGGTCAGGGTGAGCGGGGCCTCTTGCAGTTCTGGGATCGCCTGATCGCTGTCTGAGGCTTTCCCGAGGTGATCGGAAGGCGAACTGCATCAGCATCAACACGCATTACTTGTCATTCGGTCTCAAGGTTTCCTCTGATCGCTGCGGGCTCGTTGGTGCCTCATTTGGCGTCTTGTGGATGTGTTTCAGCCTGGGGACTCGCTGGGCCGCTTTTGGATTACCCTGGGGCTGCTTACAGTCTGTGGCGGTCTTTCGCTGGCTTGGAGCAGTCTTCCAGCGCAGAACCAGGGGACGATTCTTGGACCGTGGTCTGTACAAGGGGGAGGGGTCGACCCTAGGCACACTAAAGAACTCACCAGACAACATGCGATCATGACAACTATCCACTATTGCGCATGCGCGGTGGCGACGCCCGTTCATGTTATGCTTGGTTGGGCCGCATCATGTTATGCCAGGATCTGTAATGCAAAGCACTTGCATGCCCATGTGCATACTTGTTGTGCCCGTGGGAGTAGCTTCGTACGTTCAGACGTACATGCCTGCATGTATTAGCAGGCAGTTTTTTTGTTGCGACTGACGTGGTGTTCTGGCGTATCATGGTGCAGTGCGTACGCACGTTTGACATTGCATGTCACGCCAGCCGCACTTATCCGAAGCATTGCGGCATAGTCATTGCATTTCAAGTCCTGTGGTCGCGACTCCTAGGGTTCTAGGTATTTGGGTTTCGGGTTTTGGCCTCGTAATCCAGGGTCTCAGCATGGGGGAGTGCTTCTATTTCGTGTGCAATGGGCGTGTGCTGCTCAGTGCTGAAGGCACTGTTGTGCCGATGCGACTGGCACAATGCTGACAAGGAGGTTGTGGGTGGGTGAAGATGGAGTGGTTGATTGGGTTGGGAGTGAGTGGATGATGGTCTCAGTCATCAGAAGCTTCTCTTTGTTGCGCGCTCCCTCTCTCTCTCTCTCTTGTCTCGCCTCCTTCTCTGATGGATATAATGGAAAGAGCGAGGTACGAGTGATGACGTTCTGGTGGGGCGAAGCCCTCTAGGGAGGGGTCCAGGGGAGGGGCGAGGGGGTCGTTTTTGGGTGTGAATGGCCGCCCGGGGCTTTTTCCTTTGTATTTGTTTCGAGTGCAGCGGCTCGCGGGTGCCTTCCACGGCCTGTAAAAAAGAAAAATATCTTTTTCTGAGTGACGCGGCCCACGGGCCCCAAGACTGCCCAAGAGGGCACCAAAACGATCCAAAGACGGCCCCAAGAGAGCTCTGAATGGCCTGCAGACGGTCCAAGAGAGCTTCGAGACGGCTTCAGAGACTCTCCAGAGGGCCCTCGAGAGGGCTTCAGGAGCCCGAAAACATTGATTTCCCAATGGAGACTCTTATTTTATCCAATCAAGGGATAACGCATAACGCCCCGGCTCCGATCCAGCGCGCGATCCCAGGCAGCCTAGGGTCTGTTGTGCACGCGGGCGTGCACTATGGTGCACGCAGGCAGTGTGGTGTGCACGGGCGTTCTGGTGCATTCTGTCGCACGCAGTTATCGTTGTACGCAGGCATAAAGGGTGTACGCAAGCATTGTGGTGTACACATCACAAGCCCTGTGGTGTACACAGGCGTCGTGGTGTACACAATCGTTGTAGTGCGCAAGATCGCTACGATGTAAGCGTGCGTTGTGGGCTGTAAGAGACTGTTTTCTTAAGGGTCCGGCGATAACCCGGGTTATCGGGCGCCCCCCCCCGTTCAGGATAACTTAATTTAGCTGGTTGTGCAGGTCCGGGGGGGGGCGCAGGGAATTTGCAAGGAGCGCTGTGTTAAACGGTGCGTTGGTGTTCGCCACAGCTTGCTGGTGTTTGGATGCACGTTGGCGAATCGCTGGGGCTTGGAGTGGCACGTGGGAACGACGACGACGTCGACGACGTCGACGACGACGACGACAGACGACGACAGACGACGACAGACGACGACAGACGACGACAGACGACGACTGAGGACGACAGGCGACGACAGACGACGACGACGACGACGACGAACGACGACGAACGACGACGACGACGACGCCCGACGTCGTCCATTGCGTTGTGCACAGGCAGCGAAGCGATTTGGCGCGCGCATTTACTGTTGTTTCTGCAGGATCTGTTGTGTACGCAGGCGCTGGTGCACGCAAACATAAGCGCACGCAGGTCGCGCTGTGCGCGCGGGCATCGTGATGCACCAGGCAATATGGTGAAGACAGGCTATGTGGTGTGCACACCACCTCCTGCATCTTCAGTTATCATTCGCGCATGCATCTTAGGCATGGTGGTGTACAGGAACACTGTTGTGCACGGTCATTGCGGTGTACCATACATTGTGGTGTACACGGGCGCTGTGGTGTACAGATCCGTTGTTGTGCACACATTCGCTATGGTGTACACATGCGTTGTGGGCCCAAAAGACGGGACCGTTCCCTGCGCCAGAGAAACCAATGATCACACATAGCTTACATATTGAATTTGATACGTTCGGATCCTATGCGATTTTCTGGAGTTCGGTCCCGCTGGGGGCCCTGGAAGTGTACGCAGTTCTGTGTTGTACACAAGCACTTTGGTGCACGAGTATGGTATTGGAGCAGCAAGAGTGGTGCAGATAGGCGTCGTCGTGTACACAGGCAGTGTGTGTGTGTTGTGTACACAAGCGTTGCGGTGCACACGGTGGCTGTAGTGTACACAGGCATTGTGGTGTACACAGACATTGTTGTGTAGACAGGCGCTGCGTTGTACACAAGCAGCTGTGGTGTACAAAGGCGTCGTGGCGCACGCTAGACAGGGGTGTAGACAAACATGGTCGGCCAAAAACGGGGGGACCGCATCCCGGCCCAGAAAAATCAATGGTCACAAATCACCTGCATATCGAATTTGATACATTCGGGCCAGGCCCCCTGGGGTTTTCCAGATTTGGGCCCCGGCGGGACCTTGGAGGTGCACGGAAGCGCTGTGGCTCAAATGTTCGCCATGCGCTGTGGTGCACGCGGCTCCTGTGGTGTGCACAATCACCGCAGTGTACACAGGCGCTGTGGTGCACTCAGAAGCCTATACTGCAGCAGCACCTGTGGTGTGCAAGACCGTTGTGGCGCACGCATGCTTTGTTGTACTCACAGATAGTGTGGCGCACGCGTGTTCTATAGATAGTGTACACAAGACTTCGCGGCTACGATTAGCAACCGCATCCTGCGTATTCCAGTGCGAGCTGTCCAGACATCCTTAGGAATTCTCAGACGGCGCCCGCACCGTCGCAGCACCAATAGTTGCATCGCGGCAGCATCGCTAGCAGTTGTAGGGGCCGCAGCACCGGTGTGCGCGAGCATATGCAGGGCTGCCCACAGCGCGAAGGTTAGGTTATCGGCCGGCCCTGCCCTCCCCCCCGTCCCCGGATAACCGTGGTTATCGCCGCTTAAAGCGGTTTGTAATGGGCCCACGCATATCTTCGCACTTCTTCCTCCTTCTCCTTCGTCATTTCCGTGCGCACAGGCGTTCTGTTTCACATTTGTTGTGGACTCAAAATGTCCATGCGTTCCGTGGGCCTAAAACATAGTAATCACAATCATATCAGAATATTGGATATGATATATTCAGGCCCCCAGTAATTTCCCTGACTTTGGCTCCGTCGGGATCGTGGAGGTGTACGATTTTTTAATGGTACACGTAGGCGCTGTGGTGCACGCGGAAGGGTGCTGAAGCAGCAGCTGTGGTGTCAATAATCACAGGCGTTGCGGTGCAGACGGCTGTTGTGGTGTACATCGGCGGTGCTGTGTGTAAAAAAGGTGTTCTCCTGGGGCCAGAATAACAAATAATCGCAATCAACTCAGATATTGAGCTTGATACGTTCGGGCCGCCGAAGATTTTCCGGAGCTTGGCCCCGTCGGTATATGGCCTTCAGGTGTACACGAATTTTGCGGTGTGCGCAGGCGCTGTGGTGCACCAGGGGTGCTAAAACTTGTGATGCACGCAGGCGCCGTGGTGTGCACAGATCGCGCGATGTACACAGGCGTCGTGGTGCACGCGGTTGTTATGGTGTGAAAGAGCGTGTTCTACCGCTGCTGGCGGAAAACCGGGGGGAGTCACTACCGGTT